ATATGGGAGTTACTTCCTCGGTCCTCTTTTAGTTGTCATGTTTCACTTTCGAAAGTCAATTTGATTAATTTTCAAAGTTAGATTAGATTACATTAATTTGATATTTTAAACTAAAAATTTAGATATTCAAAAACTATAAGAAAAGTACTATAAATTATAGTTTTTTGCATAGCTATATGATAAAAAAAATACATTGTAAAATATAAGTCAAAATTCTTATCGTTTGACTCTAAAGAGGAAATCATGACAACTAAAAAGGAACCAAGAGTGTGAGAGAGAATAGCAGTTAATTTAATCAAATGGTCCTTATAATTAGTGCTATTAAATGACTTTTACATGGATGTGCTAAAAATATGGTAGGTAAAAGACTATATAGATACTCTCTTCGTTCCTATTTATATGTCACCTTTCTAGATTTCAGTCCCTTAAAAAACTAGATAAGTTTACTATTATATCTTTTATTAGTGTTCTCTTAAAATCAAATTTTCTATAAATGAACATAAATTAATTTATTTTAATTAATTAAATTAATCAATAAACATGAATTAATCATTTAATTTTCTTATGTTGGTAAAATTCATACTTTCAAAACTAATAACTCTCAAAGGTAAAATAGGAAAAATAGTGTAATTTATATATTGATTTTGTGATATGACAAGTATTAAGGATCATTTATTTTTAGTAAGAATGACATATAAATTGAAACAGAGGAAATAACTTGCCAATAAATTTTATTTGGATGCTCAAATTATGACTTATTGAGCACATGAATTTAAAAAATCTTCTTCATTTTTTTTCTTTTTAAGTTATTACCCCTGAGAGAAATAATATGTGAAGATTATAAGATTAGAAATTAAACCATTAACAATAAGATAAAAGTTTTAAATGTCAACCAATTGAGCTATCAACATTTTGCTTCACAATATTTTAGTACTTTTCAATTTTTACACATAAAAACAAATTTTTTCTTATAATATTTGAAAATGACTAAATTTTTAGACAAATGCATACGGTTTTCTGGTTAATAGAGTAATTGACTTGGTAATATTGTTTTGAAATATAGACGCTGGATTTTTTATTTGGTAGTGTGTGTCACATTTTTAAAAACCAACAATTTTTTTGAAATTTTAATAAAAATGAATAGGTGAAAAAAAACGACTTAATTGGTATTCTAATTTTTCAGAAATCAATTACTCCTAATTGGTTTGATTATTTGATTTCCATTAAAGAAAAAGTGGACTCAAATTAAGCCCTTAATACAAGGAGTATAATTTATCATATTACTCCCATTTCCAAATTTACTCGTTCATATTTGATTTCACACGCTTTTTAAAAATCGATAATTTTATTATATCAGTCTTAATTATTCATTTAATAATGCTGAAAAATAAATTTGAAATAATTAAAATATTAATACTACAAATAAAATAGATATAAAATTATAAATTATCTTTTGATTTTTTACCTATATAGTACATAAACATGCTCTTTAATTTAGATCAATTGTCATTTATGCTCTCCAACTTTTGACGTGCTCAAATAAACATTTAAACATATATAAAATTGAACAAATAGATACATGTGTCCTAAATGATATAATACACGTACAACACATGTGTCAACTTATTTAATTTTATACACATACAAGTAAACATGCACACTCAAAGTTGAAGAACATAGACACAAGCTAAATTCAAGTTAAATAACATGTTTATGTTGTCGTGTTACGCTTTTGAAAGTCAATTTGATTAACTTTCAAAGTTAAATTAGATTACATTAATTTAATATTTTAAACTAAAAAATTTACATATTCAAAAACTATACGAAAAGAACTATAAATTGTACATTTTTACATATCAATATAATGAAAAAATACATCGTAAAAATGTTAGTCAAATTTTTTATCATTTAACTTTAAAAAATTGTAACAACTAAAAAAGAACGGAAAAAAAAAATATATTTAAATTAACAAGTAAAATCGAACATCTAAATTTTAACAGAATGGACATGAATACTAGGATGTGCATCAATCGGTTTGGTTCGGTTTTATGTATTATTAATTCGGTTTATCGGTTTTTGATTTTTAAATACACTAAATCAATAACAAATCAATACGATATTCTTTATCAGTTTTCGGTTTTTGGTCATTAACGGTTCGATTTCGGTTTCGGTTTACCCAATAAGAAAATGCTCATAAAATAAATATATGATTTCTCACTTCTCTAACAATTTGACACGATATAGTGAGACAAGAAAATCAGTTATATATGCTTTGATATAGTGAAACAAGAAATATAATGAGAAATTGCATAAAAAAAAGTAGATGTAGTACGAAGGCTACAATAACATGTTATAACCAAAACATAATATGAATTTTCTTATGTGAAGTAGAAGTACTATGACGTGTGAAGTATGTAGACCATAATATCTAGTTAAGTTAAATTATTAATAATTAATATTTATGAAGGGTATAGTAATAACTTACTATCATCTTAATGGGTCATCGATTTACTTTATTCAACACCAAAAATCAATACCAAACCGATAACCCAACAATTTTTTTTATAAAACCATTAAAAATCTTTTAACCCAATAACCCAATAACAATAAACATGAATTAATCATTTAATTTTCTTATGTTGGTAAAATTCATACTTTCAAGACTAATAACTCTCAAAGGTAAAAATAGTGTTATTTATATATTGGTTTTGTGACATGACAAGTATTAAGGATCATTTATTTTTAGTAAGAATGACATACAAATTGAAACAGAGGGAATAACTTGCCAATAAATTTTATTTGGATGCTCAAATTATGACTTATTGAGCACATGAATTTTAAAAAATCTTCTTCATTTTTTTTCTTTTTAAGTTATTACACCTGAGAGAAATAATATACAAAGATTATAAGATTAGAAATTAAACCGTTAACAAAAAGATAAAAGTTTTAAATGTCAATCAATTGAGCTATCAAAATTTTGCTTCACAATATTTTAGTACTTTTCAAATTTTACACATAAAAACAAAAGTTTTATTATTGCATAGGAGCGGGGTTTTACCCTGTGCGCACCCAAAGGGTAGCGGCTGAGGCTTTCCCTTGTCATCAAAAAATAATAATTTGAAAATGACTAAATTTTTAGACAAATGCATACGGTTTTCTGGTTGATCGAGTAATTGACTTGGTAATATTGTTTTGAAATATAGACGCTGGATTTTTTATTTGGTAGTGTGTGTCACGTTTTTAAAAACCAACAAATTTTTTGAAATTTTAATAAAAAGGAATAGGTGAAAAAAAACGACTTAATTGATATTCTAATTTTTCAGAAATCAATTACTCCTAATTGGTTTGATTATTTGATTTCCATTAAAGAAAAAGTGGACTCAAATTAAGCCCTTAATACAAGGAGTATAATTTATCATATTACTCCCATTTCCAAATTTACTCGTTCATATTTGATTTCACACGCTTTTTAAAAATCGATAATTTTATTATATCAGTCTTAATTATTCATTTAATAATGCTGAAAAATAAATTTGAAATAATTAAAATATTAATACTACAAATAAAATAGATATAAAATTATAAATTATCTTTTGATTTTTTACCTATATAGTACATAAACATGCTCTTTAATTTAGATCAATTGTCATTTATGCTCTCCAACTTTTGACGTGCTCAAATAAACATTTAAACATATATAAAATTGAATAAATAGATACATGTGTTCTAAGTGATATAGTACACGTACGTCACATGTGTCAACTATTTAATTTTATACACATACAAGTAAACATGCACACCCAAAGTTGAAGAACATGTGCAAACTGAATTCAAGCTAAATAACACGTTTATGTTGTCATTACGCTTTTGAAAGTCAATTTGATTAACTTTCAAAGTTAAATTAGATTACATTACATTAATTTAACATTTTAAACTCAAAAAATCATATATTCAAAAACTATACGAAAAGTACTATAAATTGTACTTTTTTGCATATCAATATAATGAAAAAATACATCGTAAAAATGTTAGTCAAAATTCTTATCATTTAATTCTAAAAAAAATTGTAACAACTAAAAAAGAACGGAAAAAATATATATTTAAATTAAACAAGTAAAATCGAATATCTAAATTTTAACAGGATGGACATGATTACTAGGGTGTGCATCGATCGATTAGGTTCGATTTGATGTATTATTGGTTCGATTTATCGGTTTTCGGTTTTTAAATATGCTAAATCAATAATGAACCAATAAGATATTCTTTATCTGTTTTCGGTTTTTGGTCATTAACGATTTGGTTTCAGTTTACCCAATAAGAAAATGCTCATAAAATAAATATGATTTCTCACTTCCCTAACAATTTGACACGATACAGTGAGACAAGCAAATCAGTTGTATATGCTTTGATATAGTGAAACAAGAAACATGATGAAAAATTGCATCAATAAGAGTATATGTAGTATGAAGGCTACAATAACATGTTACAACCAAAACATAATATGGAATTTCTGATTTGAAGTAGAAGTATTATGACGTGTGAAGTGTGTAGATCGTAGTGTAGAGTACTAATATATTGTTCAGTTATGTTAAATTATTAATATTTAATATTTATAAAGGGTATAGTAGTAACTTACTATCGTCTTAATGTGTTATCGATTTACCCAATAACTCAATACTAAAAACCGATATCAAATCGATAACCCAATATTTTTTTCTTATAAATACATTAAAAATTCATTTACCCAATAACATTTTTTCACTTCGATTTATTGGTAGGATCTATTTTTGCACTCCACTAGAAGGAAGTACTAAATAGCCTATTTTAATCAATTGTTGCCTTTCCGAGTCACCCCCTTCACATTTTTATAACCTTAAATAAACTATTCATTTTCCCACTTTTATTATTCCAAATCCTATTCCTACTACATTGATTTATTTATTTTTATTATGTCTCCACTTATATATATATTTTTTTCATCTGTATAATATATTTCTGTTTTTAGAATAAAAAAAAATCCCTTGTTGGATACTGTTGCTTCCATGGAAGCCTCACCTTCCAGCACTGTAAAGAGTAAAAAATTGTCAAATACTAAGAATTTTTCAAAATCAAACTACTCTACCCATAGAAATAGTCCATTTGTCTGTAGGTGGTGGGGTTCTTTGTTCACTTGTTCCTATTTCTTTTCTATATTTCTCTTTTTCTCCATTTCTTCCTCTTCCTCCTTTGCTTCATCAAAACCCTTACTAGCCACTCCACCGACGAAACACCTTTATAATACTGTTGATTCAACTCCGACCCATAACCAGAAAAATACATTTTACGATAACACAGTTTTTGTTGTGATTTCAGTTTTGGGTGTTTTGTTGTTTGTCTGCATTGCTTTAATGGCGTTGTTCAAGTGTTTGGGGTTCAAGTTAAGGCGGCGGGGTGGGGGTAGTGATGCTAGGGTTACTGGGGATTTGGAAGAAAATGTAAATTGTTCGAAAAAATTAGGGGTGAAGAGGCTATTTACTTGTGATGAGGTAGAGAAATTCACTATGAATTTATCGAGGTCGAGGTTGATTGCTTATGGAGGATTTAGCACAGTGTATTTAGCCCAATTTCCAGATTCAATGCTTGCTGCTGTTAAAATCATGGATTTAAGCTCTGAGCGATTTCAGAGAGTATACAAGCAAGAATTAGACATTTTGCTGCAAATCCAACACGAAAACATTGTGAAATTTCTGGGAAATTGTGATAACGGAGAAGAAGGTATGTTAGTGTTTGAATATGTTCCTAATGGAACTTTACAGGAGAAATTGCATGGCGTTGATGGTAGAAAATCACTTTCATGGAGAAACCGTATGGCTATAGCATTTCAACTTGCTAAAGCCATAGAATATCTCCATGACAAATGCCCACTCCCAATAGTCCATGGCGATATCAAAGCTTCAAATATTTTACTAGACAAGAAATATAACTCTAAGCTCTGCGATTTTGGGTCAGCGAAAATGGGATTTTCTTCCACAATTTTACCACCATCAGCAAATCGAATGATGCTTGGTTCTCCAGGGTACACAGATCCTCATTACTTGAGAACTGGCATTGCTTCAAAGAAAAATGATATATACAGCTATGGCATAATTGTTCTAGAATTAATTTCTGGATTCGAAGCACTTTCATCAGATAATGGAGAAAGATTAATATCAAAAGCTGGAACTATATTAAGGGATTCTTCTAAAGTTGCAGAAATGGTGGATTCAAAGCTTAATGGAGTTTATGATTTGGAAGAAGCTAAAGCTATGGTGTCATTAGCTGGATTTTGTCTTGGTGATTCACCAAGCCTTAGGCCTTCTGCTTCAGAAATATTGGATACTATAACAAGTAAAATTTCTTCAATGTCTTTTATGGTTTCTCATGATCAAAAAAGTTAAAAGATTGATAATTACTAGTATTATTAGTATCTTTAAAAAGATTGAATAACTAATATTCACTTTGAGTGCGATGATTTAGGTGAAATTTCTGTAAATTAATATGTATAGAGTGATTCTGTTTTTTTTTTTGTTTGAAAAAAAAAGGAGTTTATACTTGGTACTCATAGGGCAATCAATTCAGTTCAAGCAATTCCATGCTTGAACTTTGGAATTTGAATGGTTAGTTTTCTTCTATGGTTTCGGTTCTTATTTACTTGTCGAATATTTTTTATTTTAACTTTTTCTTTTACTTGTTATTTTTGAAAATTCTTTTTTTTTTTTCATTCAATTTTTTTGTTTTCTGTGCTACAAATTTATGGGGTGTAATTGCAGTTGTCAACAGTTAAGTTTTTTGAGTTTTCCAAGGTCTTCCAAGTCAATCTTGCAGGTTTACATTAATGGGAGGGCACAATGTCCCTGACACATGATTATTCAACTAAATGTGTAACTGACCTAATAGTCAATAAAAACTGATTGAAAATGATGAGGTCTTGAGATTTAAATTTTTGTAGATACTAGTTTCATTTTAGTTTGACAGGGTTAAAAATACTTTTTTATTTAACTAATTAAACGTAAATATCTCCTAAATTCTCGCCAAGTTTAGAAGCATTTTCAGCATTTTTCTAGATTTTTTATTAAGAGTTTCATGCTCCTACAATAATTTAAGATCATTTGTTATGTCATGTGACGGATCAGGTGTGCCAGTGGGTTCTAAGTTTACTTAGTCAAATAGAGCTATGTTTATAAGGGTGTCAGTAGTTCGGAGACAATACTAATAAATTATGTCGAATTCAGGAGTATTTTCAATACGTTTCTCTTTTTTTATTTGTTCAAGTTTTGGTAGACAGATTCATGCTTGTGAAAGATGGTAAATATTTGATAAAATTACTCGAGATATAGTATTTAAAGATATAACCTAGTAATTAATAAACTGATTGAGAAACATGAAATATTCAATTTATATCTCAATAGAGACAAAAAAAAACATTGAATGATTTCTCTTGTATTTTATGAAATTAGTCGAAGTTTGAGAAAATTGACTCGAAACACTACAATTAATTCGAAAAAAAAAAAGGTGTTCTTGACGCATCATAAATTACGTTCAAGAGAAGTGACCCCCCAAAAAGGGAGAAAAATGGCTCCTAAGCACATGATGGGAAACCACAACTATTTTATTAAAGATTCGTAAAGTAAAAGGCTAGCACGTTTATTATGTCTTTTAAGGCTTTTTAAAGCATCTAAAAGAATAATTTATATTATCAGCAAAATTATAAGGCCAATTGGATCATACCACTACGCCAAACTTTCAGCCATTGCTCAATGCAAAAGCCAATGTCCTTGCTTCTACTATAGAGTTCGGAGCGGACGTAGTAACAGAATCAGAAATTTTATTTCCAAATATGTTATAGAGTTTGGGATCGACATTGACGAAATCAACATAATTCAAATAATGTATCTTACAAAATTATGTTTTGTTGTTTGCCTATCGATAATTTCCTAAACTAGACCTGCTTAATCTATAATAGAACGTATAATCTATAAATATCTAAAATTATCTAAGTGGGAATAGCTTTCTTATCATTCAATGAGCATCTTGTAATTCATAAAAATTGGAGGCAATATAATCCTTATGTAAGGGCCATCCTATCTAACTTTCAGGCACTAAGATACGTTGCAAGCATGGATGCTATCATAAGAGATTCCCAACATATCATATGATTCTCATTCATGAAAATTTATGCTTAGAAAACAGACAGAGATCAAAGAGAGTTCAGTTGAACCCTTTTCCAATAAGTAGCTCTTCAACTCGAAGCCTAGTGTAACCGTACCATGTGTTTATATATGTTAAAGTCTACTATTGTCTTAAGTTAGAAGCCTAAATTTGCATTTTTTTCCCATGTGGGGGGACCTTAGGTTAGGCAAAGGCATGTGTTAACATTAGATGAGCAAATAGTAAAGCTTTTACAGCTCTTCTATACAATAATTGACAGTAGGTACCACTTCAAATGAGCTGCCTCTTCATTTCGACCACTTATTACTTCATCCACTTTGAATATGATTTTATAGAACGATAAGCAAAGCTTGGACCAGGAACTTTTAACAACGCATTATGAGGTTATTGGGAAATGAAGAAGGAACTAGGATCAGATATATGCGGGTTGAAAATAGGTTAAGACAAAAACGATCAAACACCTGACCCACCTATATTTAATATGGGTAAACAATGCATTAAATGCATGATAATGTAGATATTCATATAAGTTGTGATGGTCCGATGTTTGAATATATATGTTTCTTTCACATTAAAACATGTATATGTATACAAACATGGTCTTTTATGTTCGAAAAAAAAAACGATAGGGCGGAAGAGTTGAGGAGGAGAGAATTCACATTACAAAATAGAATTTTCCTTTACTGTGTGTGTGTGTTTTTTGGGTGGAGTGGGCGGGGGGGGGGGGGGAGGGGGCTT